CTGTGCCCGGGGGATGCGGGGGGACCCCAGGTCCCCCCGCGTCCCCCGGGCACAGGGTCCCGCCGAGGCCACCGGCTTCTGCTTTTCCACTGGTTGCCCTCATTTTTGTAGATTTCCCCCCTCCTCGCCCCATAGACATCCCTTATGGGATCTCAGGGAATATCGCTGCGCTCAGCAGGAGAAACCCTCCTCCTCCTCCTTCCCCAGGCGTAATTTTGGGACCTGTCTGGCCAGAAAAATCTGTTTTTCCACTCCCCCCCTCCCCAAGCGCAGGGAGGAGCTGGGATGAAGCAGGAGAAGCACCTGAGCCAGTTCTCAGCGTGGTGGTGGCTAAAAGGCTGGTGTTTCTCCAGAGCAGGTCTCTCCTAAATCCTTTTTTTAACCTATTTTTGTCTCGCTGCTTCACTTTTGCCCTCGCAGCGAGACTTTGTTGTGCAGCCTCCTCCTTTCCTGACTGCTTTTGCCCTCATTCTTCTCCACATGTCCCCTCCAAGCCTGGTGGGACGGAGGTTGCTCACCCAGTCAGATGATCCACGCCTCTCCACCCCAGTGGAGATGGGGTTTATGGTTGTGTTGCTCCAGCCCGTGCCCACAGCCACTTCTGCTTTTGGCAGAAGGGACTGTACCCATCAGGGTGCCCATCCCAGGCACTGGCTTTTGTTGGATTTCACAAGAAAAGGGATTTTTTGCCCAAAGCTCCCGCTCTCCTTACCACTCCTGGTGCAGCCACGGATGAAGGCAGAGGAGGAGACGACGGCCAAGATGTTGCTCAGCAGCTCCCACAACCACAGTCTGTCGGTCTGACAGCCTACGGTCCTCTCCCGGTGGCTTCACCGAGTCAGCAATTTTGAGGGAAACAGCGTGGGGCTTGTGCCCTGTGACTATGAGGAAGGTCTGGCAGCTGGGAGAGGATGAAACACAGGCTGGTGACCGCCACGTCCAGGGGAAAAGCTCGTGTGGCCGAGGAGGGGACGGGCTGTTCCCTGCAGCAAGGCTGGTGGGGCAGTGAGAGTGAGGGAAGCGGAAGAAAACAAAAGGCATCCGAGTGACTAAACTGTTCCCTACAGCTTTTCGGCCACCTCTGCACCCCAGGGGACAGCAAGAGCCTGGTTGCTCCCTATTGGGATGCTGAGTGTTTGCTGGAGCACCCCCTGAGTGCAGGGAGAAGGGCTGGAAGCCCCCTGAGACCCACCGAGAGGACGTGGGATGCTCTGGGATCCCAAGAGAACAAGGTGCTGGAGCAGTCCTGGTCGAGTCCAGGCTGAGCCACCTCTTGCTGCTGGTCCTGGTGGACACCAGGCGGCCCCTCATCGTGCTGGGGAAGCTGGATGCTCCCCCGGTGCCTATAGCCACGGTGATGGGCTGGTGCCCAGCAGCACCTGGGCGTGCTAAGAGTTAAGCTGGAAGAAGGAGAGGAGACCTTTGTCCAGCTGCCCCTGCACCTTATCTTTGCTGTGCCTGGGGAAAGCACGGCTGAGGTGAAGTCAATACAGGAACCAGTTACAGAAACCATATGTTGGTCAGTGGCACAATCAATGTTCCTGGGTAAGGCAGATATTTTCCTTTATTGCAAACGACGAGGCTGAGCCGCAAAGTTTGCAACCACATCTGAATTTTTCCAGTGCTCTCAGACCCAACCCTGAAGTTTGCTCCGAAAGATACAGCAGCCAGAAAAGCTGGTCCTGGCGGGGGGAACCCCGGCCCCTCGGGGGCTGCAGGGCCCTGCGAGCCCAGCAAAAGCGTGGATAAAAATAACCCTTCTCTGTGCTTCCCTTTCTCGCCGCCTTCCATGCGTGTCTCGGGATGCATCATGCATGAGCCACGATTGCTCACGCTTCCTCCCGCATCCCTCGCACCGTCAGCAAGTCCCCTGCGCTGCAGTGACTCACGGGGAGCCCCACAGCCCCCTGGGACCCCCCCCAGATCCCCTCAATCCCCAAGACCCCAACCCTCTAAGCCAGCCCCTCCCGCGGCCACTGGCCCCTGGTTTGCCCTCTCTCTTTGGGCACCCACAACCACGTTGTCTTTTGCAAGTGCCCGGGGTATCAAAGCAAAATTCCCTGGAAATCACCAGTTGTTCCGGGAGTTTTGTGGCACGGAAAGACGCCTTCCATGCGTGTCTCGGGATGCATCATGCATGAGCCACGATTGCTCACGCTTCCTCCCGCATCCCTCGCACCGTCAGCAAGTCCCCTGCGCTGCAGTGACTCACGGGGAGCCCCACAGCCCCCTGGGACCCCCCCAGATCCCCTCAATCCCCAGGACCCCAACCTTCCAAGCCAGTCCATCCCGTGGCCACTAGCCCCTGGTTTGCCCTCTCTCTCTTTGGGCACCCACAACCACAATGTCTTTTGCAAGTGCCCGGGGTATCAAAGCAAAATTCCCTGGAAATCACCAGTTGAGCAAGGCTGGTGGGGCAGTGAGAGTGAGGGAAGCGGAAGAAAACAAAAGGCATCCGAGTGACTAAACTGTTCCCTACAGCTTTTCGGCCACCTCTGCACCCCAGGGGACAGCAAGAGCCTGGTTGCTCCCTATTGGGATGCTGAGTGTTTGCTGGAGCACCCCCTGAGTGCAGGGAGAAGGGCTGGAAGCCCCCTGAGACCCACCGAGAGGACGTGGGATGCTCTGGGATCCCAAGGGAACAAGGTGCTGGAGCAGTCCTGGTTGAGTCCAGGCTGAGCCACCTCTGCTGCTGGTCCTGGTGGACACCAGGCGGCCCCTCATCGTGCTGGGGAAGCTGGATGCTCCCCCGGTGCCTATAGCCACGGTGATGGGCTGGTGCCCAGCAGCACCTGGGCGTGCTAAGAGTTAAGCTGGAAGAAGGAGAGGAGACCTTTGTCCAGCTGCCCCTGCACCTTATCTTTGCTGTGCCTGGGGAAAGCACGGCTGAGGTGAAGTCAATACAGGAACCAGTTACAGAAACCATATGTTGGTCAGTGGCACAATCAATGTTCCTGGGTAAGGCAGATATTTTCCTTTATTGCAAACGACGAGGCTGAGCCGCAAAGTTTGCAACCACATCTGAATTTTTCCAGCGCTCTCAGACCCAACCCTGAAGTTTGCTCCGAAAGATACAGCAGCCAGAAAAGCTGGTCCTGGCGGGGGGAACCCCGGCCCCTCGGGGGCTGCAGGGCCCTGCGAGCCCAGCAAAAGCGTGGATAAAAATAACCCTTCTCTGTGCTTCCCTTTCTCGCCGCCTTCCATGCGTGTCTCGGGATGCATCATGCATGAGCCACGATTGCTCACGCTTCCTCCCGCATCCCTCGCACCGTCAGCAAGTCCCCTGCGCTGCAGTGACTCACGGGGAGCCCCACAGCCCCCTGGGACCCCCCCAGATCCCCTCAATCCCCAGGACCCCAACCTTCCAAGCCAGTCCATCCCGTGGCCACTAGCCCCTGGTTTGCCCTCTCTCTCTTTGGGCACCCACAACCACAATGTCTTTTGCAAGTGCCCGGGGTATCAAAGCAAAATTCCCTGGAAATCACCAGTTGTACCAGGAGTTTTGTGGCACTGAAAGAGCCCCAGGGTCTCCCCAGTCCCCTCCTCACCTTCTGGTTTTCCCAGCATCAGCTGAACCTGCTGAAGCGACTTGTTTTCTGGGTGAATTCGCTGCTCCCCCAGCCCCTGCCCTTTGCAGGGAGCTCGGGGGTGCCCACAACCACCTCTGGGGACTTTCTGCTCCCCATGGGCAAAGTGTCCTCTTCTGGAAATCCCAGCTAAAGACCACAGAGGCTGACCTTTCAGATCCAGCACCTCCTGCACCACCAAGACTCCAGGAACAACCGACCTTGCTGCGGTGCCGTGGGTGCTTTCCGCTCGCCGGGAGGAGGGCAGGGGCTGGGGAAGGAGGATTTAACGCTCCCGTCCATCCCAGCTGAGATCTGTGGGGCT